GCGGGCGGCGGGGGCCGGGCGGGCGGAGCGGGGGGCAGGGGCGGGCAGGGCCCGGCCGGCGGGCGGCCTCTCCCGGGGTGGCTTCGGGCTCTGGGCTCCCGGCTCCGCGCCGGGCCCCGCTCGGCCCGGCGGCGGCGGCGGCGGGAACGCGGGCGCCAGCTCGCCGCGGCCGGCCGCCCGCACACACCCCCGGCCGCCGGCTCCCACCCCGCCCGCCGCCCCCCGCCATGAGCGCCGCCGCTGGCTGCAGGCAGAGTCGCTGCCGCCCCGGCCGCCGCTGGCTCCAGTCCGCCGCCATTATTCTTTGTTCGCTGCGAGCGGCGGCGATGGTGTGGGGCTCGGGCGGAGGCTCCATCTTTACCACGGCCCCTCCTGCGAGGGGAAGGCCCCGAGCGCTGGTGTCCGGCGCCTCCCCGTCCCCCCTCCGTCCCCCCGGCTCTCTCCGGCTCCTGCCTCCTCCTCCTGCTCCTCTTACCGGTGGTACAAGCTCCTCCGTCACTGCTTTCGTTCGCGGCCCGGATCTCGCTGGAGTTTTATTCTCTCCCCCACGTAACACACCGCGTCAAACTACACCTCCGCCGCGTCACTCACCAACACTCCGCTTCTCCCAGCCGCCCGGGCCACAGGCAGCAGCAGCCGCCGCCGACTGAGGACTCGCAGCCAGGGAGCCAGCCAGCGCCGCCCAGTGCCGAGTGCGCAGCGGCCGCGCACGGAAACAGCCGAGCTCGGCCCGGAGGAGCTCGAGCGGCCCCGCCCTCAGCGCTGGAGGCGGAACTTGCCGAAGACCTTCGAGTTCCTTCGGGCACGGCGGAGGGCTTCCGCGGGGAGAGGGAAGGCGGAGGTGGTCTGGGGCCAGGGGTGGGGAGGAATGATCTAAGCCCCCCCTCCCCCTCCCCTCCTCCCTCCCGCGCCCTGCCGCTTATCGACGGATAAAACCGGCGGCGGAAATTTGCAGGAAGAGTTAGGGTTTGTGTGTGGCGGGGTGGGGAATTCCCGAGGGGTGTCGACTGCTCGATGGAAACCCCCGCGCGGGCTGCCCTTGCGGCGGTAAGCGGCGGGCTCTAGGGCGGCTGCGGCGTGCCGGGTCTGGGTACCCGAGCGCCGCCAGCCCCGGGAAGTTTCAAACGCTGCCGGGACGGGGGAGACGCGCCACTGGGTCGGGGCCGCGCCTGAGTGCGAGAGTACTGCGAGCTGGGGAGGAAGGCCTGCAGCGGCTCTGCGGTCGCCCCCGAGGCCTGGGGCCTGGGCTGGACTCTGGGACGGTAGGCCGCGGCGCTGCGCCGGCGCGGCCCGGGGGCGTCGTTGGCCCCTGTGGGGAGGGTCTTCCGCCCCTCTGGGCGGGCTGGGCGGCTCTGCTTCGAGAATCCGCTGAGAAGCCTGGCGCCCGCCGGCGGGGCCGTTCTGTTTCGGGGGACGGAGGCTCTGGGACTCCGGTCACCTTGGCGGGGTTCAGTACAACAGCGAGGACGGCCAGGCCTGGGGGGCACATCTTCGGCCTCCGAGCCGTGACCTGCCCTATCCGAGGTTGCTCTTCTACACTTTCGAAATGTCTTACCTTCCTCCTCCACCTGCCCGCCTTTTTTTTTTTTTTTTTTTTTTTGCACCATCCTGTGTCGGTTTCTTTTCACAGCCCGTTTTCTGCAGCACAGGGTTGCAGCGGCTGCACCCTTTTCTTCACCACCCGCTCCCCCTGTGAACCCGCAGTGTGACTTCCGTTGCCTCGAAGCTACTGAAACTGCCCTTTCAGAGGTCACCCGAGACACGATACCGACTTTACCATTATCCTTTTTATTGAACTCGACAGTCCTCTCCCGGGCTTTCATGTCTATTGTAATTCACTTTCAGTCCCTTAAAGCAAACATGTTTTAGGAAGCCGAGAGGGTCCAAAACAGAGCTCCGTCCCTTATTGACTTACTGTTGAAAAAGAAAGAGTTCCCTAGCCTGGTCCTGTAGATCCCCTTGTCCTTTCTCTTTGGGCTGAAGAATATCCCCCTTTCCTTCTGTTATTTTCAACCTTTCCTTCTCAACCGGCGTTTCTGTCCAGTATTTGAACATTCTTAAGTCTCTCATTTTTTGGAAAACATTTTTCTCTTTAAATCCCTCTCCAACCGCGATTGTCTCTTACCCCGTGGACGTTCATGTCCCAGTCTCCTCAGCCCTCTCCAGTCTAGTTTCTGTTCTTACCACACACCTGAATCAGCTCTGAATTGTCACAGACAAGCTTCAGGCCTCATTTACAAGACCTCATTCTGGCATTTTACACCATTGCCCACAGCCTCATCCAAATATTCTCTGCCCTCTGCTCTTGTTTTCTTTTACCTCTCTGGTTGTTCTTTAACAACCAGCTTCTCCTCCTTTAGCCAACTGTTAAATATTGGAATCCTGTTGAGCTTCATCCTCTTCTCGAGTCCCACCATGTGCATTTTCCTAGGTGGTCTCATCCTCTTTCCGGTGGCTTCAAATACCCTTTGCCAAAGACTGTCCAGCTCAAAACTCAAGCCTAGATCTTGCTTTTGAACTCTAGATTCATATTTCTAACTGCCTGTGCTACACTTTCATCTGGATGACTTGATGTCAAACTCAACCTCTTCCCTCCAAAAGCCTCTTCCCGTAGACCTCGGATCAGTAAAGTACAGCCTGTCCATCTACTCAGTTCAGAAACCTAAGACACCTCCGACACACATCAGAATCACCTAGACCTGCCTTAAAAAAATAGGATTTGTGGCTTCTCATCCCACTCTAGTCTAAGCTACATTCATCTCTTGCTTGAAGTTCTGCACTAACTACCATCGAGGTCCTACAAAACTGCTCTTGGCTCATTCCAATCCATTTGCCATACTGCAGCCAGAGCAAATTTTAACAAATACAAATCTGATCAAGTCACTACCCTGCTTGAATTCCTTCAGTCCTTCCCTTTGCTTACTGAACACAATCTTAAGTCCTTGTCATTAAGGCCAGGCCCTCCATTATCTGGGCTCGTCTTCTTCCCAGCCTCCCCAGCAGTCCCTCTAGCTCTCTGCACTCCAGCCATGTTAGTCTTCTTATTTTTTCCAGGCTCTTTTCTCTTGTTCCCTACTGTAAACTCTCACCTCAAGGAATTTATACATGCTATTCCCTTCCCCTGAGATTCTTTTCTGATTCATCATACTTGTAATTATTTGTTTAATGTCCATGTGTGGTCTGTGCAGGTAGGGACCATGTCTGTCTTGTTCACCACCAGAATTTCTCTCCTCCCATCCCCAGCACAATGTCTAGAATGTAGTGGTGCTCAGTAAATATTGAACAAATAATGAATATCTCTATGGTCCTGGGAAAAAATCCTTAATATTTTGGGGTTCAAATCCTGGTTCAGCCACTTACTAGCTGTGTGACTTGGGCATATTTTTCATTCTTGCGCCTCAGTTTTCCCATCTGTGAAATGAGAAGATGATAATAGCACCTATATCATAGTGTTACTGTGGTAATTAAATGAGATCATTCATGGAAAGTGTACTTGGCACAGTGACATGTAATAAGTGTCTATTTAAATGTTGCCTATTACTAGCTTTATTTGTATATCTCACCCTTGTGTCAAATACATTTGCAAAATTGAGCTTATTATCTTCCTGCTCTTCTTACCCTGGCCCTATACATGATATCAAAATATTAGAATTATTTGCTCATAACCAATGCTTCTCATTCACCAAATACAGTAATTTTTTATTTAAAAATTTCCGTATATTCTTCTTTTCTGTTCACACTGATCTTCATTTAGGGCCTACCTCTTCATGCCTTAGTTACTTTGCTGACTTCCTGGGTGCTTCCTAGGTGCTAGTGGGACTGCAGGCCCACTTCTCCTATTCACTTGTGCCCTACTCTCAGACCAGTGGGCCTCAAACAGTTATTAAGTCATACTTTCTCCTTGACTTACGCTCTCCTGGCCTCTGTTTTCACCTAATTTTGTTCATTCACTCATTCAGTCATCCAGTCATTCAAGTGCAAGTTATTTTACTAAATGCTTTGGATATACTTCAGATTTGAAATGTAGTCTCCCAGTTATGTGCTCTGGCATCTCCATAAACCATAGAAATGAACTAGAAATGTCAAACTTTAGCATCCGTTTTTATCTCTGGGACTTGAAAGCTACTCCCACTTTTGACTCAATTTTTCAATTGGAAAACAGGGTCAATATTGGGGAGACGAAAGTAGGGAAGAACACATGGATATAAGCTGACATAGTATAAGGTAGATAAGATGGCAAAGGGGGAAGGTCTCAAGAGATGATTATAAAAGGCTTCAAGGAGAAAGTGGTATCTGAGAGCTTTTCTCTAACCACGGCTTCCTTTTCCTGTTATTTTTCTCTCTTGCTTCCGCTGTTGAACCTAATTTTCACCCTCACTGTGAACTCAAGTTCCATGAACACTGCCTATTCTAGTTCATCACCTCTCAGGACTTAATTTGTTTTTCTACCTAACCCCAAGGCCATGGTGACCTATTTTGTTTATTCTAAAAATACCTGTTGAGCACCTATTTTGTGCTATGTACTACAAAACTGGGGCTATCGCAGTAAATAAAACATTGTTTCTGCTCTCAAAGGTACTAGCATAAAATCTTCAACTTCTCCTCTTTCTGACATTTCTCTTTTTTGTTCACTCCTTTGTGCCCTCATCTAGCGTCATGGTTGTAAATACAATGCCCATGCTGACAACCCTCAAAATTATATCTTCCCAAATCACTCTCCCAAACTTTAGACTCATTTAAACAACTGCCTACTCACACCTCCACTTGGATGTTGTCTTAGCCTTGGTTCTCCCAGAAAGCAGAATCTGAGGCAGTCTTCTGTGCTCTTATTTTATTAGGGAGTACAATCTTGGGGAAGTGAGGGTAGGGAAAAGTAGTGAGTCAGGACAGGAGGTTAAGATTCAGTCAGAGGATGCTAACACTACCCTCCTCTGCAACATACACATACTTCCGTTTCATGTGGGCACCAAACAGACCCCTGTGTGAGATGTGTGGCCTGAGCATAAGGCAAAGCACTATTGGGTGGTTACTGCCTGAGGTTGGTTGGCCATGGCAATGAAGACAAAATAAGTGGTAGAAGACCCTACAGGCAAGGAGGCCAAGAGGATCCTAGGTGATACAGAGGTGTCTAATAGACATCTCAAACTCAATATGTCCAAAACTGAACTGACTTTCCCCCTCACATCTGCACCTGCAGTCTTTCCCATCTTAATTGCTGAGGTTAGAAATCTTGGAATGACTCTTAATACCTTCCTTTCTCTCACATCCCACATCTATTCCCGTAGGAAATTTTATTGGCTGTACCTTCAAAATATATCCAAAAACTGACTACTTAGCACCTCCACTGCAAGTGAGCTGGATGTGTAATACTTTCATCTCTTACCTAGATTACTGCAATTGCTTCTTAAGAACTTCCCCCTACTTCCGTTGCCGTACACCAGCCACTCTTCTGCCTTAGCACCTGGGGGCTGTTTCAGTGCTTAAAATGCTCTTTTTCCAAATATCAAGAGAGCTAACTCTCTCACCTCCTTCAGGTCTTTGCTGAAATGTCACTTTCTCACTGAGGCCTTGACAATACTACTTAAAATTACAATTTGACACCCACCTCAATCACCCCTATTTTTTCTTATGGCACTTATTACCTTCAAATATACTGTCTGTTTTACTACTTTTTTTTTTTTTTATAAATTTATTTATTTTTTGGCTACGATGGGTCTTCGTTGCTGCACGCAGGCTTTCTCTGGTTGCGGTGAGCAGGGGCTACTCTTCGTTGCGGTGGGCAGGCTTCTCATTGCAGTGGCTTCTCTTGTTGTGGAGCACGGGCTCTAGGTGTGCAGGCTTCAGTAGTTGTGGCACGTGGGCTCAGTAGTTGTGGCGCGTGGGCTCAGTAGTTGTGGCTCACGAGCTCTAGAGCGCAGGCTCAGTAGTTGTGGCGCACAGGCTTAGTTGCTCCGCGGCATGTGGGATCTTCCTGGACCAGGCCTCGAACCCGTGTCCCCTGCATTGGCAGGCGGATTCTTAACCACTGAGCCACCAGGGAAACCCTGTTTTACTACTATTTATGTTTATTGTTGACTGGCTCCCTTGCTAAAATACACGTTCTGAAAAGCATTATCTTTCTTTTGTTTACTGATGTATCTCAAACACTTGGAACCATGCCCTGACATATAATAGGTGCTCAATATATGTTTGTTGAATGAATTCCCAACTTGCCTGTGTTCAGGTGGTTCATACTATTCAGATTTATTTTCTTGGTTGCTTTTGTAATGAGCAGGAATATAATAGTTCTCCTTCTTATTTGGTAAGATTTCCTATAATCTTGATGTAACAGTTATCAATAAGAATTCCTGGAAACAATTGAAATCCCAAACACCTCTCTATAACAGCAAAAAAAAAAAAAAAAAAAAGGAATGACCCAAATGTCCCCATACTAAACAGTTAACTATTTAATTCAACTTTTGTCCCTTATATGTACTCATACCTCTTTTAACATTACATGGGAACTATTCATTTGTTTGTCTGCATCCTTTATTGAACCATGAGCTCCCTAAAGGCAAAGTTGTGTTTTGTTGAACTTGCATCCCTAGTAACTGACATACAATAGGTGCTCAGTAATGTTTCTTGAATGAAAGAAAGAATGAATGGTTAGAGTTTTTCCAGCACTGGTCAAGGGACCCTGCCCAAGTGATTCAAACATCTGATCTCCTTAGCAGTTCTTCCCCTGCAGTGTAGATGGATGCTTGAGAGTCTTCATAATTGGAAAGAGCGCAAGGTGGAGCTGTTGTCAGCACGCATGAAGTAATCCTGTGACTTTAATTGTACTTTCCCAATAGTTTTCCAACAGAGAGGAGAAAGCACTGATCTGTTACATCTATTTCTGTTCTGTTTACCAGTTATAGTTCCCTATGTAAATTAATATGTTGCTTCTTAAAATTAATCTTCAACAACAAAACTCTCCATTTCTACTTTCTCCTCTAGCTACTGTCCCATTTTTTTGCTCTCTTTACAGTAAGTATCTCTGAAAGAGTTATATATTTACTGTCCCAATTTCTTTTCTCTCATTTTCTGTTAAATCCACTCCAGCTAGCTCTTGCCCTCAGCATTCCACCAAAACTGCTCTCCACATTTCTTAATCCAATGGCCTGTTCTCAGTGGTCTCACTTAGCAGCACTTGACACAGTTGATCGCAACTTCCTCCCTGTAACACTTTCTTCACTTGTTACACTTGTTTCTTCAGTGTTACAGGGCACTTCACTCTCCTGATTTTCATCGTGCACTCCTGGTCATTATTCTCAATCTCCTTTGTTCACTGACCTCTCAATATTGGGGTGTCCCAGGTCTCTGTCCTTGGACCTCTTCTGTTACTATACTCTCTCCCTCAGTGTCTCATTCATTCTTATGGCATTGGATATGATAAATAAGCTCACAACTCCCTAGTCTCAGATTCAGCCTTGTATATCCAAGAAACTCCGTATCTCTACTTGGGTATTTAATAGACCTGTCCATTTTATTAAACCCAAAACCAAACTCCAGATCTCGCCTCCCCTCAGAAACCTTCTCTGCCTACAACCTTCTCTATCTCAGTTAATGGCACCTCCATCATTCCCATTGCTGAGGGCGACTCAGCAGCTCTTTTACACCCCACATCCAATCTGTCATCAAATCCTGTTGTTATCTCTTCAAAATATGTGACCGCTCTTCCAATCTCCACTGATACCAGCTTGGTCCAAGCCGCTGTTACCTTTGATTAGGATTCTACATCAGCCACCCTTAACTTCATTCCTTTCTCAGCCCAGCAGCCAGAGTGATCCTTTTAAACTTTAAAGCTGACCACACCATGATTCTGTTCAAAACTATCCAGTAGCTCCCCATCTCACTCAGAAAAAGCTGTGATTCTTACAGTTAGGCCTACAAGACCCCATTTCCTCTCTGATTTTACTTTCTGCTCTTCCTACCCTACCTTTCTCTGCTCAGAGGCCTGTTGACCATCTTGCTGTTCCTCAAACACTTTGGACCCACTCCCCTCAGGGACTTTGCATTTGCTGTTCTCTCTGCTCGGGATGCTCTTTCCAGACGTTTCCACGTCCTCTTCATCTCCTCAGGTCTTTGCTCAAACGTCCGCATTTCTGTGAGGCCTTCCCTTACTACCCTGATGAAAACTGTTCACCCTACACCCCACCTCTCTCTTTGATCTTTTGCTCTGCGTATCTCCTTTTGCTACTTAGTTTTCCTCCATAGCACCTGTCACTTTCTGGTATGTTATCTACTTAGCTCATTTATTGTGTTTGCAGGTACTTTTGTCTCTTTTTTCACTGCTATATTCTTAACATCTAGAACAGTGTCTTGTACATAGCTGGCACTCAAATGTTTGTTGCGTGAACGAAGTTGAAATTCTGGACTTAATCTCCTGGCATTGGTTTGTGTAAACAGGTCTCTCTCAGTTTGATCATCTCTGTATGCATCTATAAATATTGTTTCTGTATTGCAGCCTGAATCATGGTGGGTCCACCAAAGTTTTGCCTTCTTGTGGGGCTTGATTTCATCATGGCCACGCTCTCTGCCATCTCTGTCTCAGTTCTATAGAACTTGAAAGAGTTGAAGACCCCTTTGAAGCTTTCTGATCTTCCCATGTCTCAGAGTCAGAACTGATCGGGAAGATTCTGGTTGCTTCTTATTTCTATTCTGAGGACCAGGTGGTTAGCTACTAGTACTGCTGCATTCTTGTCTTCCTTGTGACTGAAAGCAGTGCCATGTAAACAAAGTCAGATGGCCTCTTATCCTCTTGGAAATTTACAAAAGGCCAGTGGTTGGCAAATAAAACTGGTAGCAGCAACAAGTGAAGATTTATTGAGCTCTTACTTTGTGCCAGGCACTGTTTTAAACACTTTTGATTTATTAACTAACTTAATCCCCATAATAACTCAATGAGGAAAATATTAACATTAGGAACATTTTATAGATGAGTAAGCTGAAGCATGGAGGGGTGATGAGATAAACGTCTCCGAGGTCTTAGAGCTAGCAAGTGGCAGAGTCAGAATGTGAACCCAGACAGGCAGCCTGGCTCCAGAGCCTGCGCTCTTAGCCACTGTGCTCTACTGCCTGGTTGTAGAATGAAAAGTGGGAGAGGGAATTTGCTTTGAGAAGAAAGCAAATTATAATTCCATCGATGTGAGTCTGTCATTCTGAAAGCATCATTGTAACACAAGCACTTTCTTCTCATGTCAGTTCTATCGCCATTTTCATGCATGATACAAGAATTAGGCTAAAAAGCTTCCACGATACCTTGTCACTCTTCCTAGCGAATGAGTAGGCTCCTTGAAACACTCTGCCTAGCCACCCCCTTTCATTTTTGCTTCACTAATTCCTAGTCTTTAGCTGAGCTCTGAAGGGTGTGTCATGAACTCTGAGTACCCTACCTAACTCCCTACCCCAAACCAACACTCTAGTCTGATTTAGGTGCCTGAATTCCATATTTTTGTTTCTGTCAAAGCACCCATCACACTTGGGACTTCCCTGGCAGTCCAGTGGTTAAGACTCCGTGGTTCCACTGCACGGGGCAAGGGTTCGATCGCTGGTCGGGGAGCTAAGATTCCACATGCTGTGCAGCGCAGCCAAAAAAATAAATTAAAAAAATGTTGGCACTTCCCTGGCAGTCCAGTGGTTAGGACTCCGTGCTCCCAATGTAGGGGGCAAGTGTTCAATACCTGGTCAGGGAACTAAGATCCTGCATGCCACATGGCATGGCCAAAAAAAAAAAAAAAAGTAACAAATGTGGAGGAAAAAATTTTTTTAAAAAGTACCTATCACACTACTTGTCATTATTTGTTTAAATGACTAGTTCTGTGCTAGACTGTAACTTCGGTGAGGGCAGAGATTGCATCTGCCTTATTCATTGCTATATCCTTAATACCTAGCATGGCGCTTGGCACGTTGGAGGAGTTCAATAAAATGTTTTTTTAATGAATAAAAGTGATATTTCTATAGAATATCTGCAATCATACCCATGCATTAAGGTGAATTTTCTTATGGCCAGACTAGTCCATCTTTTTAGAAATGCGAAAGATAATTTTCTTTCAGTCTGCCTTCCAGCTGCTGGGTTTTTATGTTAGCATTTCTTATGCCATAATGCTAGTTTTCAATTAGTGACTGTTTCTACTTCAGATTCAACTAACGTTCAACTGTAATGTAGCAGATGTCTCTCTGAGGTCTTTCATATATGTCTGCTAATTTAAATTAAGACAATTTCTTTGGGTTTCAGCTTCTTCAGCTACACAGCCAAGATACCTGATTGACTTGTGCAAGATCAGACTGTAAGTTTGAGAATTGGGGTTTGAATTTAGAACTTCCAATTCTAAATTTAGCTTCCTTTTTTTCATATGTGATGTTGCCTTTCTGTTCCTATCTCTGATTCTTGTCTACTAGTCTTTGGTTAGCACCCATATTACTGAGCGACAAGCATATTTGATAATCTTATAAGCACCTCCTTCAAAAAATTTTTCCCCACTCCTTTGTTTTGTTTTCCAATTTTATTTATTTTCTTCCCATTTCCACTCTGCCAAATTCTCTCCCAAACAGTGGCACTCAGGGTTTATGAAAACATTTCTGGGGCCTGTCCTAATCTCACGTATGGATTAAGGGCTTTAGTGATATTTGGTTATTTCTATTATTATTCCTATACTATTATTATTATCTATTTGAGAAAAAGATATGAGAAGAATCCCAGGAATTGGAAACAGGACACATACTACTTGGGCTCCTGATCAAACAAGGTGATTGAACACATACTTTTTGCTTTGCTTATTCCTGGCACCCCACAGTAAAGGAGGAAGGAAAGTATAAACCCTTATGATAGATAGAATAATGGTCCTCTCATAAATACTCATGTATTAGTTCCTGGAACCTATGAATGTGTTATCTTACTTGAAAAAAAGGGCTTTGCAGGCGTAATTAAGTTAAGGATTTTGAGCTGCGAAGATTATCCTGGATTATGTGAGTGGGCCCAATGTAATCACAAAGCTGCTTATAAAGGAAAGAGGGAGACAGGAGAGTTAGAGTCAGAGAGAGAGAAATTGGAAGATGCTCAGCTGCTGGCTTTGATGATAGAGGATGGGATCACTAGCCAAGAAATGCAGACATCTTGTAGGAACTAGAAAAGACAAACAGATTCTCCCTTAGAGTTTCCTCGAGGAATGCGGCCTGGCCAGCACCTTGATTTTAGCCCACTGAGACTGATTTTGGGCTTCAGATCTCCAGAACTATAAGATAATAAATTTGTGTCTTTTTAAGACAGTAGGTTTGGGGCAATTTGTTACAGTAGCAATAAGGTACTTATACAAGCCCTCAAGGACAAAAAGAACAGAAAAGCAGACAATGGCAGTTGAGAGAATTCAGCACATGCTTAGAAGACAGGATAGATGGAGGAAGGGTAGCTGACTTGGCAGAGTGGGAGAAGCTGGTACCTAAGTGCAGAAGAGAGACCGGTGAGAAGGAAGCCAATTTGCCTGACAGAAATCCAGAAGGGTTCAGGAATTAGAGGCCATGCCTGCTTTATCCCATTTGCAGAGCCTGGGAAAAGAGTACCAAGAGAGGCCTACAGAACATTTGTCCAAATATTTAAAAGTTATAAATCCAGCGAACAAACTGCTAACTAAAATGTATTCAATCCTTCTATCTTGAGAAATGCGGAGAAAGGACCTCCATTTGGGGGTACTCCTGTGAATTTAAGGAAATTGTTCTGCATGAAAGAGAGAAACCAACTAACCACCAAACAGAAAGTCTGATATGTATGAATGTATTGAGATGAGATTTAAACAAGTAGTAGAGAATTTTGAATCGGTGATATGCGCTTAGGAAACTAAGTAAACGAAGAGAACAATACAATTATTAACTCCAGGGAAAACAAAAGGTTTGGCAGGAGAGGAAAAGTATTCACAGTTATCATATGGCTCAAATCTAATTAGAATACAAGGTCCCAATAATGTAAATACTCATTAATCTAATTAAATTTATGATATATAGTGAAAGGAGCACATATGTGGTGGGCATGCAAAGAAGGAGGATAGTAAACCCTCATTTCCATAGTGAAAATCAGTAAGTAATGCCTACAACAGAAATATCAAGTTACCACAATTAAAACGTGTGTAGAGACGTGGAGGTGAATTCCAAAGAATTAGCTAAAATAATTCACAGTGGTTATCTCTGGGGAACGGTAAATATTCATTGAGAGAGCTTTGACTCTGCAAACTTTGAGCATGTATAACTTTGATACAACTAAATTCTTATTTAAAAGATGATCTTAAGGGGAATAAATATTGAAGATTCTTTCCTAGATTTGAAAAACATGAGAATTAAGATTGAAAAAGATATTCAACTCTCTTGAAAAAGGCCCATATCAGAGCACACGACCACAACCTATTAAAAGCCTCTGGCAGGGGATGAAGGTACATACAAAGGACTAGAAATAAAAACAACAGTGGTCTTCTCAACAGCATCATTGGAAACTAGAAGACAATGTCTTAATGCTTTGTGATTCTGTGGGAAAATTATTTCAAATTCAGTATTCTATTATCTTCAGACATATTAGATCTTTCTTGTCATGAACACTTTCTCAGGAAACTACTAGAAGATACGCATTACCAAAATGAGGTGGTAAAACCAAAACAAGAAGATCTAGGAATCAAGAGTGTTACCTGTCAGCTTAGGCTATGTTGCAGTAACAAACAACACCGAACTCTCCATGGCTTACAATACAGGTTTCTTTCTTTTCACCCAATGTGTCCATCGTGTAGTTCTGCTCCTTGTCACCTTCATAATGGGACCCAGCCCGATGGAGCATCCTTTATCTGGGAAATTGCTAGTCTTGTGGCGGAGGGAAAAGAGATGATAGATCTCTTAAGCTTCCACCTTGGAATGTCACATGTCATTGGCCAAACAAGTCACATGGTCACTTCTGAGTTTAACAAGGCAAAAATGTCAAATCCTTCCATAGGATGGAACCTCACAAGTCATAACCAAGCCTGACATCAATGGGGCACATATTGATATAATCGACCCCAAGGCAGGAGCTGCAAATATTTCAAACAGTAGTACAGTCTTTCTCAAAGGGAACCCCTGCATAGAAGGAGGCAGAGGGAATACCCAGGTCAGCAGCTGTGAGAAGAAGAGAGCCCCAGGAGGAAGGTCAGACTGGGGGGAGGGGAGATTGGCATTAACAGCTTTTCCGACAGGTTTGATTGTTAGATAGCTGCCACTCTGAGAAGGCACTGGAAGACAGAGTTGGGGTAGGAGACTGCTGTTTTCTCATCGGCTTTTTTTGTATGAAGTGAGATCTAAAGAAATATGTAATATAATAATTTAATATAAATTTGAATTATTTTTTAAATGGATGGAAATTTAGCTTTACTTTGATGTGTTTGTGTGTGCTTCCGGGATGTATGTGTCCTGTGTTTGTGGATATGTGTGTGATTAAGATGGTCCTTTGCAGACTGTAGTTGGGAATAGTTTGTTACCCATCTGCCTCCTTCCACAATAAAGTTGTTTATGATATTTTCCTCTTCCTTCATCTTACTCTCTCAATAAAGCACCTGGAAAGAGACCAGAGAAAACAGTGGTATTTTCCAAGAAACCATGGGAAACAGCATTAGTAACCCCGAGAAGGTGGAGACATTTGACTTTCTAAGGACAACTGCTTTCTTTTTTGCAGTCCTATCCAAATTCTGCAGTTTTGACTGCAGTACTCTCATACTAGTGTTAATAGTCAAATATCTAAGGCATTAGTAATAATAACATAAAAAGATAGGGTTTCTCTTGCCTTTTTAACTGTCTTACTAGGTTCTTAGGTCCTTTCCCTTCAGGATTTATGCCTTTGCTACCTGATGCTTATTCAAAGAAAGCAAGGAAAACATCCACACTAAATGTCTTTTGGGGCTTAAAAACTGATGCTTACTGTGCTGAAGTAAAATATAATTTATCATAGGATGTACTTCAGAAGTACCAGAGCACATTTCTTCTCCAGAAGAGTAACATTTCTTTCAATACATGGATAAAAAGAATGAAGTGGTCATTAATTCTATCAATCTTAATGCTGATGTTCACCTTGATAAAACTTTTCTGATCTCTGTATTAGTTGTGGTTCAGTCATGTATGTTGCCTTGGTGACACTGGAAAACAACGCAGCTGATTCATACCCTAACAGGAATTGCTACTCCTAACTCAGGTACAGGATACAGGGGTTCAAACTGCACTCTAAGAAGCATCCCATCTCTGCATAGTGAAAGGCTATTGGAGGTTCGCTTGTGAGGTAGGAGTTACTGTATCTCCTAAGACTGCATCAAGGTATCTGATTTTTGTGTTCAGATACTTAATGAGTGATTCTCAAGTTTTCTATCTTTTTCACACACAGTACATTTCCATCAGCATCCAAAGATGGAGTGGGGGAAGGGACACTGTCTATTTTCAAAAGTTCCTCCCAGCTAGACTTTTACCCCCCTCCTTCTGCAAGGAATTTAGAAAGAAGTTACTTGTTTGAATATGTAAGGATGGTGGGGAAGGAGAGAATAAATCTTTTCATCTGTATACATCCCAAGGCTGCAGATGAGAATAAGAACCCTTAAAAATCTCAGTGTCATGATTGCCAGTGTCCCTTCTTTGTGTAGACAGTTCTTAGCAAAGAATCTAGTCCTGTCAGCTAAATTCTTATATTTTAGTATTTGACACACTTTTTTTTAAGGGACCTGTCAAAAATGACAGTGATTTGGTCTATGTTTCTGTAAACTGCATTAACGACAGTGTTACTTCTTCCCAGGAAATATCTTCTTGCCAACTGAATTTAGAGGATGCACTTGCTCATGCCTCTTTGCACAAGCAGATTTTATATCATTAGGGTCTTGCATTTGTAGATCAGGAAGAAAAACTTTGTTTCATCGTAATCCATTGGTTTGAGCAGATACTGTCACAGTTCTGAGATCCTCTTAAGAGATCCCTTAGTACATGTATTCTCAAACTATGAATGAGGGTTATAAACATCAGTGAAACGGAATTTAATTTACTAGAATTTGGTGTGCTTACAGCCCTGGTTCTTATTCTAGGTTCACAGAGTCTCCCTAACTAGACTGATCCTTTTCCAGGATGGACTACATCCCTTTTCCCCCCACTCCCTACCTTCCAGTACAGTTACCCTGTGTAGATTCATATAATGAATCTGCAAATGTTACTGTTTAATATATTATTGTCTAATACTCTGTAAATGTCACTAACATCTGTTCTATGGTACATTGCTAAATGGTTTTTGTAACTGTGGATTTTGAGCCCA